GTTGTGCTGCACCTGTTTTTAGGAAGTGTCAAGAACTTTGTGCAATGTTGATAATGAACTTGAGCAGAAATGAGAGTCAGTAGCAAGGCAGTCATTTTTTAAGCAGTAAAAATGACTTGTTTCCTACATTACTTTATACTACTAAAAAATACGTGTCAGCGACAACTGCTTTGACAACTGTTCTCTGTATTATACAATCTTGAATGGAAACATTTCTGTAAAATTGTAACTTTTAAAAGTAAGAGTAAAAAGTGTTTTGGTTAGTAATGGTGTGGAGAAAATACAGTATTGCATGCTTTTGTATGTACTGATCGTGGCTCACATCTGGAGGGCTCTAAGAAGCAGAGTACTAAATCAAAATTGCTTTAGGTGTCTTTTGCCAATAAAAATTAAAATAATTTCATGGAAACAGCTTGTGCTTTGAGAAGCCCGGTTTTATTCTATATTATGAAACTAATTTCTGTTTTGAAAATTGCTCTTCTGTTGTTCCTGGTATAAATGAATGGAATATAATGATACCCTACTTCTAGGAGACAAAACATTTCCTTAAAATGTTTGCTAGGTTATGCCGTGCTGTTCTACTGATGGTTATTTTAAATTAATAATGAGAACAATAATTTTAAATATTGTTTCTTTGTTAGACACATTGTAGTCTTAAATTGAAACACTAAATTCTGCAAGTACTGTATAATATTTTTTGCTTATAATGCTACATTTTTATTAATGTACCTTCCGTTTTGAGGGTTTATATCTGTATTTCTCTTTGCATTATACAAATTGAAATATACCAGTATTTTCATTCTGGAGTGGTGTTTTTTATTTATTTTTTATTTTTTTTTTAATGCTGTGACTGGTACTAATACTTGTCTGTATATGTTCTTCCTGTCCTGTTATCCTTTTAGTACATGCTCTTTCGTTTCAGATTTTGTAGTTTGGCCATGAGCATATACAAGACATTTGGAGACTGTCTTACATGTTCTAACTTATAACTTAAAATGCAAGCAAAAAATCTGCAAACATTTTTTTAAGGGAAGAAGCAATAGACATATACACTGCCTTAAAACTTTTCAATAAACGTATAAAACATGAATGCAGTGATCATTTTGATCAAAATAATGACAACTTTAAAATAGGTCCAGTAAATGTATTGAATTTCTTTTTAGTTCACATAATATAAACAATTAGATAACCAGTCCAAAAGGGATGAGTAATAATAAGAGAGTGTGGTGGATTTATCTCTGGTAAATGGGCAGCCTTATTTTGTCTGTGAAGGTCAATTAGAATCTTGGAGATAGTCTTGTATTTGGAAAATACAGATAAGTGCCCTCTTTCTCATTAAGTCTTAGGTCCAGGGAGACTTCAGTTACCCTGGGCCACTCATCAGAATCTAAAGACAGTCTTAAGAAGTAATTCCCAATCTAGCCCTTCACCTTCATGATCCAAGTTAAAAGAATAGAGGTCACTCAGTTCAAGTGATACTCAGAATAATTTAGCTCCTGGTATGCCACATCTCAGAGTGACCCCATAAGGTTACTATGAGTCGGGATCAACTAGGTGGCAACAGGCTTGTTTTGGGGTATGCCACAGAAGCCAACCCATCAGCTGATTCCTCAGCAATAAACTCTCACCATGGTAACAGCTCAACTGCAGCAGGGACCACCTGAGTATGGGCCCTACCTGGCCTTGAGTTCCCAGGATATTTTTTCATAAGAGAACCCAATTGCTACTGGTTCTTGAGTTTTAATGTTCATAAGACTGAGCTTGAGTGCTTGCAGGTCCAGAGGTTCATAATAGGAGGTTCTGAGGTAGGATCCCAGAAAGAATATATTTAACTAGTTCCCCCAGAGGGCTGGAGACAAACTTGGCATGCCTCTATTCTGATGCGATTTACTTTCAACACATGATTTACAAACTTGTTCACCTGCAGTTTTCTGATTTGATGGGGAAGGGAAGATTTCTAGTGAGAGTTCAGGCAAGAGTGACAAGAAATGATAGCCAACTAGAAAGGATAAAGAGAAACCAAGAGAGGCAGAGAAACAAGGTGTGGAAGGGAAACTGTGTAGGAGCATAAAGCCACTCCAACCTTGCAGACTTTGGAACTAATCACCTAATTAACATAAACTTAAATTGCTAATTATATTCATCAAAAAGCATCAAGAAAAGTTTACTTGGGTCCAGAATACTTTATTCATACCAGGACAGGGACAATGTATTTGGAGATAATATCCATTAAAATAGTTTAAAACTATTTTATTTAGGAAGTTAGCTTGCTTAGCACAGCTTTTCCCACACTCAGGGTGAGAAAAATGAGTTGTCACTATCCGTGGAGCAATAGAAAATAGATTTCATGTACATAAATTTTTGTCTGTATGGCCTGGTATGGTATTACTGTATCAAAAATGAGCATTTTTAAGGATTTTGATATCTTATGTCAAATAGCTTTGCAGAAAAACTACATCTATTTACATTTCCACTTGACAGGCTCATTTTTTAAAATTATGTTTCTCAAAATAGGGAAGGATATGACAAATCAATAATAATAATGATAAATATTATAATCATCTCTACAGCTACTATTCAGTTTTGTCAAATCTCAATGGTTTGGCCAATTTTCTGCTTTGCCTTGCTTTCCTCCCTATCTTCCTCCTTTCTTTTATTTCTAGAGATATAATATTACACAATTATTTCTGCCAAGACTTTGGTGTTACCATTGGCCCTCTACATTCTCTAATGCCCTGCCCCCTAAAAGGTAATGGGGCCCCAGGCCTTAGGTCAGACTCAAGATTTAAGTTTATAGGTAGATCAATGGGTTGACCAGATTGGGTCTGTCCTTTGCTGTCTTCCAGAGGCCTACAGGATCAAATGCAAATCTCATCCTGCCACAGAGGCCTTTCATGATCTAGCCTGTCCACTTCCCTGGCCTCATCCTCCTTATATTCCCATAGCTCTTTTCTCTGACTGCCTTTGTCCAACCTCCCTATTCTCCCTGGAAAGCCTACCCCACCTTTTCTGTCTGGAAAACTCTCACTAACCTTCCTAGAACAGTGGCCATATTCAAAATATGGCATGCTGTTCATATATCCAATCTGTACAATTAATTGTAACCCTGGATCCTGACTGAACAGCAGGACTGTGCTGGACTCAGGTCCAAGACTTCTAGAAGCCCTCTTGGCCCAGCCACCTCTCGTCTGACTCCCAAGATGCACTCTGTTTATGAAGTCTGCACCCCTGTGTGTGGTGTACTGCTGGCTCCCAGTTTCCTTTCCAGTCTCACCTTCTCCCACTTCTTTCAGAACCTGTACTCTAGTCACTGCATGTCACTGGCAATGCCCTGAACAGATACTGTGTCACACCACCATGCCTTGATGGGTATTGTGTCTTGTGTCCAAAGTTCTCACTTCCCCTATTCCCTCCCTAGCTTCCTGTTAAGTTTTCAAACACAAAGTGTGAACTTCTAGCCTCTATAGAAAGGAGGAGATTTTCCCATTGCAGGCACTGCAAGGTTTTCAGGGTTCGAAATGGCAGTCATTAGACCCGAGTGCCATGTGGGCTAAGTAGAAGACTTATTGTCCTGCCAGCATTCTAAAATAAAAGTCCATATTGTTTCAGCCATTAACATTCAAGGAGCCTTTAGCTGAAGCAACAAGTAACTGCAGCAATATTTAAAACAACTCCAACATCTCCCCTTTAGGTGTGCTTTAGGTGTGCTTGACAGCCTGGAAATGTATCCAAAAATTAAAAAAACAAACTTATTTAATTCATTATTTCTTAACTATCATTCAGTTTACTGATAACCATTAAATTAACCTGGCCTTGGAAAAATACTGAGATTTGATGTAATTTCTTAGATTGAAATAAATTAGATTAATAAAATACCTCTTACTAGACTAGTTCTGTGTAACTGCACTTTATAATAATTTTTGATTGTTATACATTTGAACTTTTTAGCTATCACAAATCTAGTTACAGTAATGGGGGGAGGGAGTAGGCAAAAACTCTGAATGAATCCATCCAATAAGAAATTAGTTTCTGTGTGGAAGGCTACAGGGGAAAGGAAGAACCAAAGTTCGTTTGCTGATGAGTTAACAATCTAATCTCAGCTTGGGAAATGCACCCAAAGTTATAAAGTGAGGCAGAATATGATAGAAGCCAAAAGAAGGATCTAGATAAAGAGCTAGGGATAACCAAAAAATCAGACATTACAATAGATTGTCTGGAAAGGGCCCTAGGCATTATAACTCCATTTATCTTACTGAGGAAAGAAAGAAAAACCAGAAGACTGGAACAAAAATTGGCCAGGTTCCATCTCCCTTGTCCTGCATTCTTACATTTCTTTCTGACTCCATCCATACTAGGAGCTCTGGTAGCATA